ATCAAATTTAAATCTTCAATATCATTCAAATGGTGAGGTTTACGGAAAAAGTATAAGATACTTTTTTTGTAGAGCATTAAATTTCCTACAAAATTTGTCTTGAACATTTTTCTGTACAATCAATAAATAATGAGGTATGAATTTTAATCTATTRGACTGAAAAAAAAAAAACTGCGATGCGGAGGATCTTCCTATTAAAATTAAGAACTTATATTGGGTGAGAATTCTTTTAAGGTGTCTAGGAACCCATTTTTGCGTGGCACTTAAAAAAAAAAATTAGTCATTTTTTGACCCACCCTAATATATATATATTACACGTAGAACGATGTGTATCTTTAGTCTTCTTTAGCAAAATATATCTATATGAAAAGTTGATACAATATATCTACTTACTATCGGATAACCCCAATGGTGAGGCGCAGCGCGTTTTCTATCATGATCGAATTACATGTAAGCGCTTATATTTTCGGACCAAATATAGATCTACAGAAAAATGTCTTTTCGACATACATCGTGTTTCTTGACATGCTAGTAAACGAAAGATATTTCGCGGGTGGTGGTACTCTACTTCGTAACCTTTACATATATTTTCTTTATTACCTTAAACTCTTTATTTCTCTTTTTATTTCTCTTTCGGAAGACTTTTATCATAATTATTTTAAATTCGTTATGATACTATATATTTTGGTAGCTGATTGATTAGCTATTGAACTAGATAAGCTACAATACAAATAATTTTACGTGCGAGTTATGATAGTTATACATTTTATGTAGAAAGTAATAATTAAAGGAATAATAATAATAATAGTACAAAAGTAATAGTAATAATATTAATTATAATAATAATAGTAGGCAATGAAAATATATTACTCAATGAAATAATTATATAATTAAATTTTGTCATCATCATCATCGTATAATGATTACTCATGTATTATATTGATTATAATTGACAAACATTATAAATAATTATGAGTAATATTAATGATTTAACCTACCACCCGCCTTGAACGTACCACGTTCAACACTTATCAAAACTTATGTTTTAACATTACATAATGATAAACAATCTTAATTTATGATTAGCCTACAGAACAATTTACTTAACATATATATCAATTACTATACTTCATTGTTTGAGGCACAATCGTCTCCTCCTGATAAAACACAAATCTTAGTGACCAATCAACAGAGACTTTCCTCAGCAGTCTTCACAGAGACAACACGGATAACGTTGTCTCTTCTTAGGTGCAAACGAGATATTCGTCCCAATTTCCATTTCATTGGGGATACGCTTTTTTTTCAATAGAACCAAAGTCACCATTTTCATTTTTATTTTTTGCTATCCTTTTTTCTTCCATTTTGTCTGTTGTTGTAACTGGTGTAAATATGCCACATGCCAGTGTCGTCAGAAATCTTGGAAAATTCTTCTTAGGTGCTGATACTTGTTTAGGCAGATAGTAGAAATTTTCATTAAATTAGATAGCGGTAGAGTTGTGATTGATTCATCAATCAAAAAATGATTTGGAGTTAATGAGGTGGGATCATTGGGATCATTGGACAAATGAGAAAGCGACTGAAATTGAAAGATGCCTAAATCTGCATTGCTAAT